TGGGTTTTTTTTAAAAAAAAAAAAAAAAATGGCGAGGCTGTGACCTTCTCCTTTGGCTTCAGTAGTTTGGAGAAAAAAAAAAACAAACCCATAACTGAAGACATGACCCGACCAGCTCCCTCTCCTTCGCTGTGCGTGGACTTGCTGGTCTTTTTATTGTATTTACAAAGACACTTGAGGTTTGGGAATTCTTTGGTGAACACTTTGTATGAACGTGCCTCTTCCTGCCAGCTGCCTGTGAGCTGCTGCCTGAAACCACAGCTGAGGTCGGGGAAGGACTTTGCTGGGCAAACCTGCTCCTTGTTGCTGCTCGGAAAACCCAACGCTGCCCCTGCAGAGCCCTTAGTCCCCGGAGAAGTTGAGGATGTGCAGGATTTGCTCTACTCTGTGGTGAGCAACTCCCTCACTGCCCTGTGGGTGGGGGAATCCACCAGAATATGTCTCACTCTGTCCGACCCAACGAAGCAACTGGCTTTTCTGTCAGTCCGAGATAAGAGGGAGGTCACTGCCCGCTACCTCCCTGCGCCGGCATTCCCGGCTCTGGCACAGCACCACGAGCCCTCAAAAAATCTCTCAGAATTGCAGGGGAGAAGACGGTCACGCCTCAGAAACCGCCCAGCAGAAACGTCCACTGGCAGCTTTGCTCTGGTTTTATTACTCAGAGATGAAGCAAAAAATAAAAGCGAAGGAACTGCTCCGGCAAAACCGATAGCTGGAGAGGAGGGGGGAGAGACGCAGCCCTCTTCCAGGCCGGGACCCCAGCAGCCGGGTGGCACAGGATGAATCAAGGCCAGATGAAATACGGAGTCAGTGCACCTGCCTGACTTTTTCATCTGCTTGGCAAGACGAGGTGTCAGATGTGGGAGCTACGTGCGAGGCAGAGCCGTGGGGTGGGATGGCACGGCTCCCACCTCCAGCGCTGACACGCTCTTTGGTGAAGGGAAAAAACAGTCCCACGGCACCAAGGATGCACTGAAAAGGTCGTTTCTATTGTGGTGGCTGCTGCTGTTGCAAAAGATGGTGAGCTCCTGGCTCCTCCCTCCGGGGTGAGATACAGGCAAGATGACCTCGCCATGGAGGGAGAGGAGAGAGCTTAAAAGGTCGGTGAACAAACCAAGCATTAAAATTGCAGGCAAGTCCAGGCTGGTTTCCTTGAAGGACACTAGAGACACTGCTGCTTGACTGAGCACAGTAGGCACTCCCAGATCTCCTGATACCAACAAGATCTTTCAATATTTCCTTTTGCTTCTGCAGTGGGCTGAAAACATCTATCTTCTGAAAGATTTCTCTCATCTGATTCTTCCCGTAGAGATCAAAAGGAGTGTGAAACACGCCTATAACCTGACGGATCAGCTGGCACCTTTGGTAACTTTTATGTCCCCAGGCCCAAACTCTAAAGGATCAGACACCAGTTATCACAGACAGGCAAAGGGCCCTCGCTGGTAGAGGTGACAGGCACCTCGTGTTACCTACAGCACAACGTGAGTACTGAACTCTCCCGGGAAGAAGCTTAGCACGAGTTTTTGAACACTCCGAGGCACTGAGAGAGCAAGATAGACCCTTCAGAGTGGGAAAACAAGTTCTCTTCTGTGCCCTTCCCAGCTGGAGCATGTCAGGGACAGCCAGGAGACTACTTGTCCCACCCTGAGCGTAGTGTTTTCTGTCACCTATGGACTGGGAGCGCAGAGCATTCCCTGCCATTCTCTCTTCTTGCAATATCTAGGTCTGAATCCTTTCTGGATCCTATCTGGTATTACTACTTGCACCCAGAACACTCCTAAACTAGTTGTCTGCCCAGCAGCTTTCCTGCAGCCTCCTGTCAGTGCCACACCTGCCCTGTACAGATCAGGAAAACTGATGGTAGTCTCTGACTGTAGCCTGACTGTCCACAAGCAGCAGAACAAGTTGGCTTCCTGCAGAACCCAAGCACAGAGCCTTCCAGCAATGGTGGCAAGGGAGGACACACAAGTCTCTTCCCACCAGCGATTTTGCAGCTATACATGGATGGTGAAGTTCTCCAGCTCAGCCTCGACTGGCTGAGCATCCTGATCCCTCACAAGGGGCCCAAGCAGTGAGCTGAACTGGCAGCACCCCCACTGCAGCAAACGCCTGCAGCTTTGGCTTGTGGGGGAGCAGCTGAGAACAAAAACCACTTCCCCAGGGAAGATGAGGTCCCCAAAGCAAGGGCATCGCTTCGAGAAGATCCAGCTGACATGGGTACATCCAGACTCCCCACATCCCAGCACAAAGCCTTGCCCCATCCAAACTTCCCTGGAGGGGCTAGTGTCATCAACAGTGTCTTCAACAGTTTGGTTTCTGGCCAGAAACCCTCCCAGTTCCAGTGAGATCTTCAGGCCAGGTTTGCAATCCCTTAGACACTGAGACAACCCAGAACTGTTTTGCCCAGTATTAAATTCAGTGACTTTCAGCACAATCATTTATTAACTGCCAGCACTGCACCTGGGAGTACTGTACATGGCTGGGAGGGAAATTAACTGTTCCTGCACCTGCAGAATGAAGGGAAAACATGATTTCCTCCAGATTTGTGTGACAAGGCTAGAAAACACAAAATCTGCAAAATTCAAACCCAGAAGTGACCTCTAAGGAATTAGCTCTGGCCCTTACCCCGGGGACTTCGCTCTGCGTGAGGAACCAGGCAGGAAGAGCCAGAGCCCCCTGAGACAGGAGCTGGCAGACCCAGAGACCCTTTCCTTTCAGCAAACCTGCCTGCTGCCCTCCTCTGACCTTTTTCTGCTTCGCTCAGCTCCGTGCGAGGGTCTCTCAGGGAAGCCCTGCATAATGAAATTGCCTGATTCCTCCAGCTGTTCCCCCATTACCCACCCGCCATGCCAAGGCTGCTGCACTTCCACCTGCCACTGAGAACACGGAGAGCACTTAATGGATTATGGCTGGATAAACAGTAAAACTGAGCATATGCGAACACTTCAGCCTCGCCGGTGCCTGCCGCGCTCCTGCTCCGTGGAGGGAGGGGGTCTGCTGGGCAGATCTTCCAGGGCCTGAGGCTGCGGTGCCAGGTGATCCCGGCTCGGACTGGAGAGCCTGGCAGCATCGAGGGGGACTGGGGAGGGCAAAAGCAATGAGGATCGATGGAGCGAACCCAGGAGCTGCTGCTGTGCATTGACTTGTGCTCACTCGCCTGTTCAGGGGGCCCCGGGGAGGAGCTGGCTGGAGGGCTGGTGAGAGCAGGACTCTGCTTGAGTCCCCAGTGCTTTTGAGGCAGAATAGAGGGCAGCCAAGATGTGTCTCAGAGGGGTAGGCGTGGGACTGAGCCAAGGAAGAGAAGCAGCAGCCCATCTCCCTGCATACTCTGTCCTTCAGGGCTCCTCAACCAGCACATCAACTCCCCCATTTTTTTTGTATCAACAGACACATAATGGCTTGATTTCTCATTCTTTAAAGCTCAGTCCTCACTCAACAGTTTCACACGCAAACAATGGAGACACAGGAATGTACACAAAAGTATTAAATGAGATAGATCTTTATTAGAAGCTTCCAGCATATTTTATCTGTTCTCCTCCTCCACAAAACTCCTCTTACTGGATATACAGCTACTATAGTCCATATAGAGTCTGTACATCTCTCTCTTGCTATTTACTGCCACACATCTGACTGTACAGCTGTACAGTGTGCTCTCTTATCAGCAATAATACATGGTCTTCAGTACAACCCTACACACATTAGAATTGCATGGCACTCTGCGTTACAAGGAAAGAGCTAAACCTCTCTTCTCTGGTTTCATAAGACAAACGTTGCCACAGTGTTCCTATAAAGCTCATAGGCAGATCTGAACAGGTATTCTGAGCAGATTTCCCCCAGAATCTGTGGATCTGGTCCCTAAGTGCTTAACAAATCTCACATTCGTGCTGATATCAGACTTGGGAGTGAAGAAAAACCCTCATGAATAATGCCCTTGAGTGATCAGGAGGACACTAGAGACAGGGAAGAAACTGAACCACTTCCTTTTCATTTTTCACCTTCCATTCTGGGTCCCCTCCAGCCCTCTCCAGCCCCTCAGGGTGACACACTCAGCCCCGGCACCTCCTCACCCAACATCTCCTCCCAAACAACTTTATGTCTCTCGGATGGGAGGCAGCGGAGGGACCAAGTCATACAACTAGACCCTTCCTCTGGAGACCGTCAGAGCAAAACACATACACGTGCCTTTTCCTCCTCTCCAACATGCTCATGTCCTTGTCAGGGCTTTTTCCTGAGGCTTCCCTGAGCTCAGCCCCTTTCCCTGCTGCCCGTGCAGCCCCTTTCCATCCTGGACAGGCTCCTGCGGGGCCCTTCCCGGCTGCCCCTTCCCCTGGCTCTGGCTATGTGACATCTGCCCGTCCCCTGCCTATGGGAGTGAGACGTGTCCTTGCAGCGGGTGCTCCTCACCCACCGGGACAGACACCGCACCCTCAGGGCTGAGGTGGCCACGCACACAACAGAAACCCTATCTCGGTCTCCTGAAGTGTTAGACCGAGTCATGACTTCTTGGAGTGAAATCCAAGAGGATGAGTCCTCCTGCAGTGAGCCAAACCAGTCATGGGAGAGCTGGGCCTTGCCAAGTGGGTGGCCCCTCCGTCGCCCTTTCGCCCGCGCGCAGCCAGCACACGCTTCGCAAAGCACCATGTTTGGACAGAGACAGCTCTCCTTCCCCAAAGCTCTCGCCTCTCTTCCTCCACAGATACCCCAACCCTTTCATAGGAACGAAGCACTTTCCTGGTTTTTTTTGCTCTCTCCTCCCTCTACCACCTCAGTGCCTTCCTTTGCCACCGGGTAACTTCATCAGGGAGGATGGACAAGCAGCACCCTGGAACAGACACTGTGACTACTCCTAGGAGATAGCACGGGTATGCAAGAAGTGTGCAAAGAAAGAACAGAGCCAGCCCACGCTGGGCTCCTCTTCTGTCCAGTACAGGTACAAACTGCCTACCGTATTGCAAATGACTGTCACCAGAAGGATCCTGCTTCCTGTGACATCCTGTCCCGTTTAGGGATGGGTCCAGAGAAGTCTTGGTGCTGGGATCCAGGCTTCTCACACTGCCCAAGAACAAAGTCCCCGGCCTCTGCCTCCTCCGTCCTCGCCTGTCCTCGGGAAGCACACGCTGAGACTAGGTCCGGGGGTGTCCTTCTCTGACCTGCCTTCTGAAGTAGCGGATGGCAGAAAGTGTGCCAAAACTTGCCAGGAACACTGGAAAAGAGCCCAACACATTTCCAGAGTGAGTCTGGGTGCTTCTTCCAAACCTGAAGAATCTTTTTCCAAACTTGAAGATCACAAGCTACTTGGCTCACTCCGGACCATGGGACCTAGGGGGGTTGCTCCCCTCCCTTTCTCAGTCCCCTCCTGCCTTTGCTTTTCACCCTGCCACACTACGCTTGTTCCCAGCGCGTTCAGTCCCGAGCTGCCCGCAGCCCTGCCCACGATGTCTAGACCCATAGGTTGGGCGCACAGATCACGCCACCATTTCGCACAGATCACACCACCATTTCGCACAGATCACACCACCATTTCGCACAGATCACACCACCATTTCACAAGAAACGGCTGTTTTTAAGGGAAACTCAACATAGACTTGATGCGTATGGTAGAGATGTGTAGTGGTTAGATACGTGGAGCTCTAATGGATCTAATTTTGGATGAGAGGGCCACAGTAGAAAATCTCACCAGGGCTTCAGGACAGTCCCTTCATTTGCTACCTCTGTTTGGATCAGGAAAATGCCAAGAAAAGTATCATTTTGTGGGTTATCTGTGGATCCTCTGATCCCAGCCAAAAGCAGAAAATACCCCAAGCCCAGAATCAGAAAATGTAGACGTATAAAAAATACCTGATGGAGCTTATACACGGAATCAAGCTCTTCTCTGTACTTTCACCTAATGTTTTTAGCTTGGCTTATAAGAGAGGTCAAATTCCCCTGCTCTGTGCCCAAGGAAAACTGAGAACCCAAGCTGTGCCTTTGGACTCCCCAGTTTAAATTCAGACTTGATTTTGATTTATGTGTTAGAGCCTGGGTCATAGGGAAATTCAGCTTGTTAGAACCTAAAATGCCAAGAGAATTGCTAGTTCAGGATGTCAGCGTGTCTCTCGGCCCGCTCCTGACCGGGGTGCTTACTGCACGTTGGGTTATGCAATCCAGAGAGCACGAGGCCCATATCCTGCTTTTCACACCCTCTCTGAGGCCACCTCTACCACCTAATACTAGGAAGGCAAGGAGAAGCAGGCCAAAAGCTCCTTGTGATGATTGCACTGAGCAACTTTAGCTAATGAGCTATTCTCAGCCGGGGTGTCAGCTTCCTGTGTGACCTTAGCGGGGAACATTCCTCCCCTGGACAAGCAGAAGGAAGGCCTGGCCCCACGGCGGGGGCTCTCTGGTGCCCACGGGCTGCTGCACTCTCTGCTCCGTGCCCCGCTCACCCAGCGACCCGCACCCCTCGGGCCACAGCTCAGCTCATTTGTGTTGCCCAAGCTTCCTCTCTCCCCACCAGTTATTCAAATGCTGTGGTTGGAGAGGAGAGGAACTGACAGAGCTCCGTTTACTTGTAGGACTCAGTGCACCAGGGTAATACTTCAGCTAAGCTGTATTTAGAAAAAAGATTATACCTTTACAGCACATTAGAAAAATGCGTGCGTTTGTTCCAGCTGAGATAAAGGAGTATAAACCTGCACACTCAAGGTCCTGATTCAGCTTCTAGCCAGCAGGGATGCTAAAGAAGCCTCTCTTCTCCTGATACACTGGTACTGGTCCCCGTCAGAGGCTGGGATGGAGCGGGGCCAAAGCTAGGAATACAGACTTGTCCTACAGCTCAGGTCAAGTCAGCAGTCACTTTGTGTGGGGAAAGGACAATGTAAGTGAGTAGGAATCAGGACTATAGGAGAGAGAAGGTATGAGAAAGTAGCAGGCACTCTGGAAAAGCAGGAAAATTACTGCATTTTCCTGCAGGCACCATTAGGTGTGTTAGCATCCCTGCCCTTCTCCCTGCCATGTCTTCCCCAAGGTCCTTCCCGCCCCTCTCCCACCAGGCTGGGCACCCTACGTACTGGTCTTCCAGGCATCCGGAGCCTGCAGGTCAGAGGTCTTCACTGCCCAGGACGCGAAGGCACAGAAGACGAGGCACATGTCCTTGTGGGTCAGCGCCAGCGGAGCCTCGGGCCTCCCTGCGAGAAGAAGAGCACGAGGTTTGGGGTTGTACCAGGTCTCCCCTGCCACAGCAGGGTCCAGTCCCTCCAGGGCAGCGAGTCCCTTGTGCTCCCAGAGATACACATCTTTGTGACACATTTTGCCTCCCAGAATACCTTTTCTCACCACTGCCCAATCAAACATGCCTATTTAGGACTCAGGTACGTTTCTTAAGGTGAGGGGCATATTTTTCACCCCTCTCAGTTTTATGCTTTGTCAAGACCCTGAGACAAATTATTTGTTAATGTTACCCAGGGGCCTGGGAGGCTCAGCCAGAGGACTTCTGAGTGCCTCAGCACCTCCCTCCACGCCTTCCCAGCACGGCCCTGGCTGGTGGCTGAAAGCGGGTCTGGGGAACAGATTGGGGCGAGAGCAATTCCTGGGGTGCTGCCGATGCACTGGGGCTGCAGGTGGGTCCCTCTGCGCAAGGTCCCCTTCCCAAGACCCACAGCAGCTCTAGGACAACACACATGCCCCCCGAGAAGCACCAGTATCAGAACCAGAACTCAGCATCTCTCCACAGACCCCACCTCACCCCCAGGGAGGGACAGAGCCCTGGGAGCTCTGCATTTCTTTCTCTGCTGGAGTTCCAGTCTGGCACGACTTGAAGATGTGTTGCAAGAGTAGGTTATTTTTGCTCCTATGTTTATTTGATCAGGCTTTTAATTAAAGCTGGCTTATTAATTAGCTACGACCGTGGCAAAGGGGTTTTTCTCTGTGCAAACAGACTGGGAGCTCTATTTTGAGGCACCCTTTGGGATGACTCATTCATTGTTTGGTTTTAATATTAACTATGAGGCACTGTGGCTGTAAGCATCATATAAGCTTTAAGATAAATACGCTGGCTGTCCTAGTTGGTCGGACTTGCTCTCCCTTTATTCCTGTTTCTCTTACTTGCCTCAAGTAACAATCAATGTTCGGGTAACCTCTGAGGTCTCTGCGGGGTGTTTTTCAAATGAATGTGTGTTTTAAAGTCCCCCTCACCTCTTTCAGCTGGAAGCCTTGGACACGTTCCACTCTGTGCACACCTTTCTCCCCACCAGTATTAGATCAATTAGCAGCCCATCCTTAATGGGACAGCAGCTCAACAGCCGTTTGCTTTGTATCAGGGGCATGAGTTCTTTGGTACAGAGGGATTTTGCTGCTTTGCCTCCCATTCCCTCATCAGAAATACAGGTATGCAGCTCTGCGGGCAGCTGGATGGAACTGGGGTGGGGAATTCCTCTCTCTACCAGACCTTGCAGTAACACCAGCCACATTTAATGCAGCTATCCACTTCAGGAAGTTTTCCTTGGCCAGAGTGCAAAAGAATAGATTAGATCCACAGTAAGATATCCGTTCAGGGGGACAACTGAATCAGCTAGGACGGGGACTTTAGGCCAGACTGAGTTTCAGCCCCTTGCGTGAGTCCTGTCGTGACCATCTCTGCCCCAGGATGGGGTTCGTGGGGAGCAAAGCAAGTTTACACACAGAATATCCCCAGATTCCCTGTCCAAGGCTCCTGCAGCACTGGCCAGCAGCACTGGCTTGGCACAGGGACAGCATGAGCATCACAAGAGAGAGCCACTGCACCACAGCACATCATGGCAGTGGCTTTAGCCCCGTTTTCCCTGCTAAAGCCCAGGGCTGCTATGTGGCAAGGTTCACATGCCAGGAGGGTGATTTCACACCAGCTACACGTGGCAGAGCCCACCAAAATGCTCCCATCTCGAAGGTGGCCTTAATGCTGGAGTGGAGGTGGCCGCAGCGGGGCCAGAGCTGGCTACAAGGGGTGGTGGGAGCCGGGGAGATCACCCACGGCAGAGGCACATCCCTACGTGCAGCGGCGAGCCAGGGCTGTCAGCAGCGAGCAGGGTAGCAGTGCTTTACCTGTCAGTGCAAGGGCCATGTCCAAACCTTCCGGCCGTGCCAGGCCTCTTCCCAGCGGAGCCAGCGGGACGAGGGGGAGCTTCTCTCCAGATCCTCTCCGTACGAGAGCCTGGGGGGCTGGGGCTTGGCCCCTGATGAGATGCATTGGCCTTTGCAGGAGGGACCTCAAAGCCCCCACAGCTTTCTTCACCTCGTAGGCTGGAGTGATTGAGAAAATCCCTCTCCAGCCTACCCTGCTCCCAGGCCCATCTGCAAAGAAGTGTTCATACACCTCAGGGACCGAGATAACCAGGGAGTCTTTGACTGGAGCTGAGTCGGGATCCTCATTTTGCAGCTGCGTGTGGTCCAAGCTGCTGAACTTCTTTCGCTTCCTGTCTTTACCCTTGACTTTTTTCCTATTTCCTTCTGGCTCATTGAAAAAATATTCATACAGTTCAGGCAAGGATATTTCCCTTTCCAAGGGTGTTTTCTCCCCCTCCATTGAGTTCCCCATTCCTTCTTCCTCCTCTTGGGAGTCACAGAACAAATAATCGTACATCTCGGGCCAAGTCACATCCAGGGTGTCTGCCCTTGCAGAATCCCCAGCTGCAAAGCAGGGGGGGCCCAGGTCCCTGAGGGTCTCAGCTGCAGGCTCCCCATGAGCTCCTTCAGCAGCATCCCCTCCAGAAGCCACCATGCCCCTGGGATGGAGAGGCTTCGCCAGCACCTCCTGGCATGCCTCTCCTGAAGGAGCCATGGCTCCACTGGCAGGGATCACGGGCACAATGTCACGTATGCCCAAGTCACCAGCCTGCCCTGGCTTTGAATTCTTGGTGGCCTTCGCCTTCCCTGGGGGCTGTGCCCCCGGCTCCTTCACCTTCTGCTTCGAGGGAGCGCTCACGGCTGCGTTGCCCTCATCCGTGCCAGGGCTGGCCACCAGCCGTTTGCTCTCCCCTGCCTCCTCGCTCCCCAGCTTCGCAGGAGCTGGCCTGGCTGCCTTCTCCTTCCCTTTGCTCTTTCGTGAGGACACTGGTGAGCTTAAAGATGCCTTCGTGGGTACCACAGTCCCCTGTGCCGCAGCCCCCGCGGGCTCCCTGTCCCCCTCAGCAGCACTGGCTCCACGTTGTTTGCGGCTCTTTCTCAGCTGTCCTGGCACTTTGGGCCTCACAACGTCCGGGGAGCAAGCTGGGGGGCTCAGCTCGGTACCTGCTCTCTCCCCACTTGCCCCCTCCTGCGCTGGGCAGCCGGGCGCTCTGGGTGCAGACTCCAGGGCTGGGCTCAGGGGGTGCTCATGCTGTGGTCCCTGTAGCCCAGGCTCCGAGCGGGAAGCGCTGCTAGAACTTTTCCTTGCCGAACCCTCTGGGGGGGTAGCCAGTAAGCTGCCCCGCACCGGAGCCCCCAGCTGTGCGGCCAGCGGGCTGCCATGGGGCTGTTCTCCTCCCTGTTCAGGGGCTCTTGTTCCAGCTGGGTGGCTGAGAGGATCCATGGCCCGATTGCCACTGGCTGCTTCTTTCTCCAATGCCACAGCCAGCTGCGGTGCTGCTGCTTCACATGCTGTGTCCTGCCCTGGGCTGCTCTCGGCGGTGCCACCAGCCGGGCTGGCGAGGGGGGCTGTGGGGGCACAGGGGGGCTGCGTCCCCTGCGCGCTGGGCATCGGAGCGGGTGAAGGGCAGCTGGACTTGTCGCTCTCACACAGAAACCTGCCGACCGAGCCCAGGTCCGCTTCGTCCTCGCTGCCCGAGAGAAGCTCCGGCAGGGAGAGGTGCCCACCAGCGGGCCAGCGCAGGGAGGCGTCTCTGGGCAGCCCACGTGGGGCAGAGCTTCCCGTGCCAGGCCCTGGCCTGCTGCCCACCCTCGCTGCGATCTGCCCGGGGGTGCTGGCGCGGCAGTCCCTCCCCGGCACGCCGTCCCCTTGTTCAATGTCACTGAGACACGGCTCCTCGGCCGTGGCCAGGGCGGCCGGTGCTAGGTTGCATTCCTCTGACGCCAAGAAGAACTCAGCCCAGTCCCTGTCGTTCAGCTGGATGCTGTACTCGAAGTTATCCATGCCTGCAGCAAGGGGAGGGGGCCGGAGAGATCAGGGCATGAGGAGAGGGCACCAGAATCGGCCGATGTAGCTGAGGTGTGTGCCATAACACCCCCCCAGGTTCCCGCCCTGCTTCCCTGCCATCCGCATTCATTCATCCTCACTGGTTTCCAGCTGAAATCCGTGGAGGGAAGGGCAGAGCCAGCAGGATGGGTATCGCTGTGCTGGACCATAACCCAGCCAAGCAGTGAGAGAGACCACTGCTACCCCCCTCCGGTCCCTTCTGCCTCTGCTCCCCCAACACAGCAGCACAGGGTTGGGGATTCTTTCCACAGCAGCACAGCAGGATGCACCTCACACACCCCTTTCCTACTCCTTTGGCCCATTTAAAAAAGTGGGGGAGTTATGCTCTTGAGCATTCCTGCTGCCACGACATCGTTTGTCAAGGTTGCATGCAGCAGAGTCCAAACAAGGGCATTACAGCAAGCAACGGCAGCCCCTTCCATACCTGTGGCTCTGGGGAGGGAGATGTAACAGAGCCCAAAACCAGGAGCAGGGATCCAGTGGTAGGAGAAGAAGCAGAAAGATCTCAAAGCTGCATCCTACCTGTACCACAACCACAGCCGGTGATGGAGCCATTCAAAGAGCCACGCAGGAAAATCCTCCCAGCACAACATGATGCTGTACCCTTGATGGGGGCAGAGCGATGGGCTCCAGCACGGATCCATTCAGGGGCTAAAAATAGGCACCCCCCTCCCTCCCAGAGTGTCACTTGAGAGCCGAATGTGATGGGCTCAGGGAGGGCAGGCCCATATATAGAAGCTGGTGGGGAAGATGTGACGGTGTCAGCCACTGCGTTTCTGTCCCACAGCCTCTGGGGTCTCTGGGACCACTCCTGATGCCCACTGCTCGCTTCTGCCCTCTGCCTGGGGTTGCTCTGTGGGGTGGCCAGCAGAGAAGGGGCCCAGGCCACCGAGTTCACAGCCTTTAGCACGAGGTGGAGCGTGACATCTGGATGGCAATGACTGGGGTTTTTTTATCAACATACCCACTTCTTTGCCTCAGGAGCAGGCTACCCATTTCTAAGGTGACAAAAACATGCCTCAGGAGCATTGTTTGCCTATTGGCAGCACTCCTAGGGCACTTCTTACCATCCCACTTCAGATTTACATCAAAAGATCATGGCCAGTGTCATGGTCTTGTGACAAACCTTGCACGGTGTGTGGCAGCCATCCCACATCACCCACGAGCATCTGGTGTGGGTGGCACAGGGAGACTCAGGGTGAGCCTGGCACGAGAGAGTTACAGGGGAAGCGACTGGCTGAGGGTGGCCTGGCGGGTCAGCAACCAGAGCCAGAAATAGCTCTGAGCTCCTGCGAGCCCCGGAGCCTGCCTCCCACTGCATGCCCTCCCCTGGCCCAGGGGCCAGAAATAGATGCCCCGAAGTAGCTGCCCGCAGCACAGAGCCCGTGAGCCTGAGCCCAAGTCCTTGCTGCCCCAAGGCTCTGGCCACCCCTTGGGTCACCAGGCTGCTGTAGACCCCAAACTGGAGGTTCCCAGCCGTGTAGGTGATGCGGGAGCCGAGAGGGACCCACGCGCTCTGCAACCACCCCAGGTGTCCCTAGTGGGACTGGGGGTGCCAGGGACCAGCACCCAGCTCCTGCCCCCTGGCCTGGAGGGCAGCCAGGCCTCTTGCCCTGCCCTGTCGTGCCCTGCCAGCACCGTCCATCCTGCGGGAAGGAAGCTCCCCGTCGTGGCTGCCTTCACGCACTGCACTGCCAGGGAGCAAGCCAGAAGCGCGCAGCCCCCCCAGCAGCTGGAGCTGAAGCGCGCTGCCCCACGCCGCCGGGTAAATATTGACCAGGACACGCTTCCTTTCACCGTGCTCCAGGCTGACACGTGCAGGGAGCTTGTCGAGCCGAGAAAATATGGAAGGGAAGAGGTCTGCTGTCTTCCCAGCCTATCTCATTTCTGATCTGGCTACACCCTTCTCCCTCTCCCCCCACACGCGCTCTCAGACGCAGAAGGGAAACCAACTGGCTTCCTTTTCTTGGCTACAGTCGACTTCCTTCCCTTTGAGTCCGGTAGCCAGGGTTAGTCAGAGAAACCTTTAAACTCTGCCTTGCAAACCGCAGCAGAGAACATAAAAGAGACAGAGGCAGAGAGACGGAACTGGAAGCCAGCAGCGGGCTGGCGGCCCGCGTTATCAGTGTCACATTTAAAACCAGCGCTGGAGCAGCCACACACCAAACCCAACAGGAACTGCACACACCCCACCACACGTTCCACCCGGCCTCAGAGACACAAACAAGTCCCGGTGCAGGAGACATCCAAGCATTTATTTAGCTGTCCAGGGTAAAGCCCACACACAGTCCTTGGGGAAATTACGCATCTGCTAGCACTTCCCTGCCTTCCTCGGGCGGGGGGGGGCCATAAAAGTGCAGCGGGGACTTCAAGGGCAAGACGTGCTGTCTCGAGCTCCGCAGGCTGCAGAAGGGGCATTATACCATCTGCGGAGGACATGCAGAAGTTGCAGCCTGGCCACACCGTCTCCAGTTACCTTCTGGCATGTGGTGTGTGACCCTGTGGCCTCTCTGGGATACCTGGCTCCAGCCCTCCAGAGCCCTCTCCAGAGGAGCTGATGCCCCGGGATGCTGCAGGGCTGCTCCAGCACCAACGTGACCGGCTGATGCCACCTGCCAAGCCACAGGCAGGCGGGCACAGGCCTCCCCACCACCTCCCAGCACCTCCAGTATTGACACTGTGGTATTAAGGGCATTATATAAATAACTAATGTCAACGTGTAATTAGAGAAGAGCCTGAAATAAAGCAGCAGATGAGGCCCCTCTCTGCCTGACAACATAGGACACAGCGTGGGAGAAACAGCCAGAATCAAGGGCAGAAATCCAGAAAGCCAGAATCAAGAAAAAAGGGAGCTAGGCAAGGAAAACTGGGAGTGCCATGGAGGGGCACTTCCTTTGGCTAATGACCTCTTCTGTGGCTTCAGGCTGCATGTTCATTACTCCCAGTGTAAAGGGACTTCAACAGACTGGTAGGGGGAAAAGGAGCTATCAGAGCTATATAGAATGATAGTCTCTAAGATAAGCATTTTCTTATCCAGGAAACTCCATTCTACCTTCACAGAGCTTTTAAAATGCCACGAGTATGGAGCTTTTGGCTGAATTCACTGCCGAGACAACACAGACAGTGCAGAGCCATGTGGGTCTGATTACAAACACGTCCTCCCTTCCCTGATCTAGACCCATCACATGCTGTGTGTTTGGGGAGGAAGAGAGTGATGAGTTTGCAGGAAAAGCAATGTAAAAAAAAAACAAACCAACAAACAAACCCCCAAAACTTAATGGGAAGAGAAATAAGTCCACAGCTTCAGGAGCAAGGCTACGTTGGCCCTTGCTGCTTCCCACTGCCTGGGACAGACAGCTCTATTTGTGCCCATTTTCTCATGCTTTCCTCTGCTTTTGGCTTGATCATCACCCTTCAGCCTCGGTTACTGCTATAGTGTGGCACTGTCTGCCCATCTCTGGCTGATCCCTGCACTCTGGTCTTCTGCTCTCACAGCAGCAGCCTTTCCATCTTGTGATCTACCCCCTGATCTGATTCATTTCTCCCCTTCCATAAATTCCTGCGAGGTACAAACTGCCATATAAATAGCTCAGCCCTTCGTGTCCAGGAGTAGGGAATGCAGAGCTGCTCAGGTACGGCTTCGACCTTGCAGTGCTAACAGCCACGAGACCTCCCTCATGATGGGGAGAGAGCAAACAGGGCATTTAGATCTACCCCAGAGAAAGCCTGGAAGTCACAGTTACTCCATGCTGAGGAAGGGGTTAAGTCTGCATTGAAACTCAGAGTGCAGTGAAGCTGTAACCACCAGGCTGGTTTTGCTGGTTTGGGGGCAGGTGAGTGGCTAGGAACTATCACCCCCAAACCGTAAGAGGTCTGCATTGTTTTTGCCTAAACCCTTTAACTGATTTGTGTTGGTTGTTCTTTTTTTTTTTTTTTTTTTACTCCCCAGGCTCTCTTAAAATTCAGGCCCATGCTTCCCAAGCAGCCAGCAGCAGGCTCACTCAAAGGTCAGCCTTAGCTGACTTGAAACTCAGCCCGCACTTGCCTGAAACTCTGCCAAGCTCTTCCAAAAGGCTTGTATCCTGGCCTGAGTTTCGGGTTGCTAATCCAAGTCTCACTGGGTTTCAGGTTTCCGTGCTAGCTTTGGCTTTGCTCTACACAAGAATAGCCTCAGGCCACATCTCCTCTGCTGGCTGGACCCTTCCTGCGGGGCAGGGGTGGCAGCAGGCAGCCACCTCCAGTGCCAAGAAAGAGGCAGCAGGGCAAACAGGGCACACAGCTGCCTCAGAGGCACAGGACACACTTGGGCCCAATATCCATAACCCCGGAGTAGCCACCCCTGAGGGGCAGGTTCTGCAACTCCCCAGCTTTGCTTCTCTCTGCCAGCCAGAACAGCCAAGGGGCTGGGGGGCCACCATCCCCTGCCCCAGCATGGCACAGGAACACCAGCCTAGTGCAGGGGCTGTTGTGGCTGTAGTATTTCTGGCTTGGGACCAGCAGCCATAAGGCCAGGTGACCGCTGTCATGTCACAGCCACCTCGCTTTTCACGTTGCTCACTGATGTGAGACAAACCAAGCGTGCAAAGCTCTCGGCAAGTCATACCCAGACAGATAGAGCTATTCTATTTTTTTTACAAGTCCTGAAAAGAGGCTGCTGGGCTGAAGTTCCAGCTCACAGGAATCAAGAGTTTCACCACTGAATCTAACACGATCAGTATTTTACCTGTGGAACTCATTTTTCCTGCCGTTTCCACTAGATGTCACTTATAGCCAGAAAGTTAGAAGTTTCCCTAGATTTTTAACCTCTTCCTGACGGGCAGGTCTATGTTAATCTTAAAAGGGGTTTTAGATATCCAGGACACTAGGATTGTAATGGTATTAGAGCAGTTGGGATTGCAGGCTGTAAGGGAGGGTGTAGGGGAAGCTAACATCTCCTG